CAAATCGCAAACGATATTATTGCACTCAACAACACAAATAACACTCCATAATAGATAAACATCGCAAAGATGATTCGTTTGGGTACTAACCTCAGTGATTATGATAGTGTCACCAAGGAGTGAGACAGCCACTTTGAGTGCATCACCCCCATTGCGCTGAACCAATTGAAGTTTCTCAGTGCAAGGCTGTTGAGAATTAAGTTTTATTGATGGATGCAGTTTGTTGGTTATATTCAAACGTCGACAACAATCGCGAAGAATTCCTTCCAACTGCAATTATCATTTACTTATTTATGTACACGTTCCCTACAAAAATATCCCACCTTATTCTACAAAAATATCCTCATTCTACATCTCTCTAAACACCATTCACCACCACCACCGTTCATACACATTCAGTTTCGATTCTGCAGTAAAAGAGCACAACAACTCATTAAATCGCACTCCACATTTACGAATTCATCCAAATGATTCGCAAGAATCTGCTGATATTTCGTTAATGCAAATAGGTGATTTAAAAGATCTAGGCGTGAGGTCAAATAGAAACCTAAATCTTTTAACCTGAAAATACCCTAAGCAGCCCTCGTTTCACATAGTAAAAATTAGCAAATTAGCAACCAATAATGTCAGCCAACATCTACAAATCCTCAAGATCCTATAAACATCTACATGAACAAAATTTAGGAACAACCGTGCTTAGCGATCGAACGGCTCGAATTTTCTGAATCCACGCCTCTTCGTTCATAAGGACGTCTCGCTCGCTCTTTAGTTCTTTAACTTTCGACAGCATATCTTCATATTCATTGGTCACACATGTTGAATGATGGCGTATTGCGGCTGGTTTGCTTGATGTTGGACTGTTCATATCATCTGTGCGCTTATCTTTGCGTGTCGACCTCGACGATCCTTCAGCATGTCGATCACCTGCCGTCTTTCGTACGTTGCTCACCAATGCGGAACTCATCAGTTCTTTAAATTGCGTTCAGTTGCTTATTTCCAGTGAGTTCATTCTTTCGACACAAAAGTTCGATTAATTCCCAACCGCTGATCTACGCTCCACGCAACGAAACAAGGGCTTTTGATGGTTTTAGTGAGGCGGATTATTTCGCAGTGGCTTGCTCTCAAAAACAGTGTTCGACGAAGAGCATTTTTTTGGCCTTTCCCGTTCAAACATTACTTTTAAAAGGAGGATCCCGTTTCACGACGAAAACTTAAAAAGGGCTGCCTACTGCATACATAATGAGGATTCTTCATATGTTCTCTGGGAAGAGAATTCTGTGAGTCACACTCAAACCCAGTTATTAGGAAAGAAATCATTTTTGATAAAATTAATAAAATTGAAAACAGACAAATTTGCGTAGCGATATTCCAGGTGAAGAAACCGTGTATCGATAATACTACGACACCGACCGGAATGAGGATAACAAATAATGAAAACCAATCAATGGTCAAATGTATTGTATTTTGATTTGATCCACAAAACATT